CAGAAGCTCCTAGACCCACCTAGGATCCCAGAATTCCTGCCTGGAGAGACTAGGTGTGAGCCCTCACACCCAGAGTTTCCCTGCATCCCATTGCTGGACGGGGCTGGAGGCCTGGGCCCTGGCCCGGGAGCCTAGCGTCCACTGTGTGGGAAAACAGGCCAGCCTGCCTCTCACCCTTGGCAGCCATGTGCTCCCACCTGGGAAGGGGGAGGGGCCTAGAGAAAGGAGGGTGAAAGACTTCAGCATCCCCCCCACTGCACCGCCCCCACTTCCAAGACACATCAGGCAGCTCAGGGCACCTGCTCAGGCCTGTTCCTAAGCACACACAGGCAGGAAAGTCTGCCAGCTGGCATATGAATGAGGAGCTGGGAGCCGGGGTGGGTGGCCCTGGGCTGGCACCCTCACCCTCCTGGGTTTGTGGGCAGTAACCTAACCCCACAGGGCTATGTTGGCAGTTAGACATGATCGGGGCTGGCACTTGGTGCCAGGCATTACATGGCCAGGGGCTGGGAGAAGGCAGCCGGCCTGACGCCTTCCAGACCCTGACACGGGTCTCAAGTCTTGGTGTGAAATCCCCCTGAACCAAGTCTGGCCTCGGGGAGGAGGATCTGGCTTCCAGTAGAGATGTCCAACTTGTCACTACCCAGGCAGGTCTAGGACTGGGCAGGGCAGACACTGGTGCCAGGTGGTCTCGGCAAGCTCCTCTCCCTGCCTGTCTCTCCATCCAGGCCAACCCTGTGCCCATGTGCATGGGAGCTCAAGCAAAGGCGTGAGTACGCCCACACACCCACTGTGCTCTCCTCCTGGCTCTGAAGCCCAGCCCACGTGTCCCCAGCCCCTCTCCAGGAGGCTTCCTTAGCCTGCAGGCCTGCCAACCACAGGCTGGCACTGTTTCTAATTAGTGCAGCCAGTGTACCAACAAAATGACCACCGTCTCCTAGGCTTGCCTGCTCCTGCACAAGAAGTTTGTCCCATGATTCCCTGGGGACTTGGCCCAGCATGGTGCTGGGGGCACATGGGGGCTTCTCCTCAGGTGGCCAAGAGCTCACAGCCAGGACATCCTTTCTGTACACCTGGGGTTACCTGCCTCAGATCCCTGGTGCTCAGAAGCAACCCGGCTTAGCAGGAATGGAGCAGCAGGCCCCAGGGCCACCGAAGAGCAGCCTTCACTGTACGGGCACCCTGGGGCAGTGGGGAGAGGCACAGGACAGCAAGACCCAGCTATGTGTCAGGATGAATGGGGGCAGGCCTAGGACAGGGAGGCTGGGCAGGGCTGGCGCTAGGAGGAGTCTTAGGGGAGAGTTTAGACTATTCTGACACAATCTAAAAACCAGAGCCAACAAGAGAGTGGTCTGGCTGCAAGCCCCCATTTCAGGCCTCAGGACTGGGACTGGGCAGCCATAGGCCTTGTCAGCAGACTGGCTCTGGACCTCAGAGCAACACGTGCGCTGTGAAGGGAGTAACGTGGCTCATTTGAGCCTCAGTTTCCACAGGTGATGCACTAAGACCCTCACCTGTGCACTAGCTAGACCCAATTCCTTGAATCTGGCTCACTGTGAGGGCTTGTCCAAAGGCAACAGACACACTGTCACCAGGGGGTCTGGGTGACCCCTCCAGACTCCAAGGAGGAACAAAGGGGAAAACGCAGCCTGGGGTACCCACCTAGTGCTCAGGCAGCATGTTCCCCCTCCCACACCCTTTCAGGGATCGTTGAGACTATTACCATTGTCACACGTACAGAAATAGGCACAGAGCTGAGCGGGTGGGAGGACAATGTGGCAGGGCCTGCATCTGAATCTAGGCCCAGGGGACCCCCCACCTCTCGGAGGAGCAAGCGATGTGTCCAGCACAGAGGCTCCAGCAAAGGGCCCAGACCATTGCATCAGGCAGGTAGCCCTGTCAGATCCTGGTTCCCATTCTCCCCGCCACCCCCTTATCCCTCCAAGCCCCGCCCCCATGCTGGGGATGATGAAACCTCAGCTCCTTGAATGGCGGAGAGAGTGAGGAAGAGCCAAAAGGCACAGACCACCTTGAAGATCCACGCCAGGCACACAGTAGGCTTCTGCCTTCTGAACAGGATGGGGAACACAGACTCTCTGATTTGGGAATAGGTTGAGTCCCAGGTGGTCTGCAAGAGCTCCAGTGATCATGGCTGAGGGACAGACTCAGGGTGGGTTCTAGGAAGTGTGGGGAATGCCCAGGGCTTCTGAGTACCCCTCCACAGAATCTGTGTCCCCACCCAGTCACGTGGTCAGAGTGGACACAGAGAAGCAAAGGTTTCTGCTAAGGGGTCTGCTGATGCTCACCCTTACTGGCAGGCAGTCCTAACCCTGGGGCAAAGAAGCAGTGGCCAGGTCTCATGTGGCACTGAGGGTCCCATGCCCCCACTACGCAGAGTCTGGCACACGGCAGGACAGGCACGAGTCCCCAGTGAATGTTGACCTAGACCCTCCTTGACACCAGGAGATGGACCAGGTTCTGTGGCTACAACAGGGGAGTATGCAGACCCGTGCTCCCTCACCCCTGAACTCCAGTGAAGGGTCAGAGAGACACACAACAAATTGTGCCAAGCATCGGGAGGCCAGGCAGGTGCTCAGGAAACATCTGGGGACCAGAGGCAAAACCTGCCAGTGTGCATTCGTGATTCAGCACCGCAGAGGGATCCAGCCTGGCCCTGCTCACAGCCTGGCTTCCGTGCAGCACTCCGGCCAGAGGGAGGGCCGCAGGGGCTACGTGCCCCCCAGGCCTGCGTCCTCCCCTGTAAAACGGGCTGACAGCAACCTTCACCACCACTGGGACCAGCAGTCCCCAAACCCACACAATCTTTTCTTAGAGCCCACCACCATTTCTGCTCCCTTGGGCAGAGGCTGAGAGGCCACCCAAGACTCATGGCTGCCCTTCCTCCCCTCCAACCACAGGGAGCACCAAGTCGCCATCCTGCGTGACCTGGGCCAGCTGAGTGGGTCGCCAAGCTAGAGAAGTCTGGCTGTTGCCCTGCAGGAGAGGGGAACTATGTATATAGCAGAGCTCCCTGAGAACAAGCGTGCTGCCGAGGGGCCACCAGAGGGCAGCCGGTCCACGGAGGACCGGCTGAGTCACAAGGGAGAGGACTGGTGGCCCCTGACTTAGGAGATCAGTTTCTTTCGTCCCACGTGGCGCTGGCACTTTCCTCAGGGCTCCCAGAACTCTTGGTGGGGGGGGGGGGGTGCGATTTGGGGAGGGGACCTGGCAAAGCAGCTCTCCTGATGGAGGAGCCATGGGGCAGTGGCAGGGAGGTCATGGTCTCTGGCATTCCAGACCTAGAGGAGGGTAGTTCCCCGAAGCCTTGGCCTGGGCAATGCTTGGACAGCTGCTGGGTCACCACACTCCCCCGGCTGGATGGACAGCGCCCCACCTCCACCCATCACACTCACAGCAGTGCACTTTGCTCATTCTCGTCCTACTCACTGCATCCTCCAGCCCACCGGGGGGGCCATACCCAGGCCTCCACCCCCACCTGGGCCTCTCCAGTTTCCCAGTTCTCTCCTAGCCCTTGGCAGCCACCCAAACCTTGCCACTCTGTCTCTCGGCCTATACTAGGATGGAGGCCTGCGGATGTGAGCAAGTTTAGGATGGCCCCCCAAGGACACAATGGCTGAGTGGAAGTGGACATGTGGAGGAGGGCAGTGGAGAAGGCTTCTGTCCAAGATTTGGGGCTGGGTAGGTGCAGAGACCCTGGTGTCGGGGGGGGGGGGGGTGTCCAACAGGAAGGCCAGGGACATCCAGGCAAAAGTTCCTCTGTGTGTGTGGGAGGAGCCGGGGGGTGGAGCAGGAACCAAACTGTGCAGAGGGTCTGCTGGCTCCGGGGGCAGGGGGAGGGAGGCAGCCCCTGACAAGGACAGGCAGGTCAGCGCAGGAAGGCCCCTCTTGAAGGGGGAATCTCTCAAGGCAGCCTTCTGTGTGCCGACCCTTCCTGGATGCCCCTCAGCCCCCAGGTAATGCAGGGCCATAGACCCCCCCCCCCCCATACTGATGCACTCCCCTCTCGTTATTCCTGTGGATGTGGCCGGTTCATGTCTCCCTCCCATCTCACTGTTTGAGTATGGCCCTTACCTGTCTCGTCCACCCCAGTCTGTGAGGCACACGGACCCAGGGCAGTTTGATTTGAGGATGAAGTCTGGAGTCTGGGAAGTCCTTAGGACACTACTCCATCTCCCACCCTCACAGGCATTGCCTCTGCAAAGCTCCTCAGAATCCAGTAGGGAGGGGACGCGCAGGGCTGTCCGGCAGCTGCTGGGCTGAGGCCACCTGGGAGGGCCCATGCTCTTACAAAGAAATGTCATGGCCCCTGGGTGAGATCCAAAATGCTGGCCACCTGAATCTGGAATCTTTGGGAAAGGGTTCAGTGTGCTAGGCAGGCAGGCATGCCAGGTGGGCACAAGTTTCAGGGAAAGAATCCCTGGCAGGCAGCATTCCTGCTCACCAAGGCAGGGCTCGCACCCCCACCCCAACCCCCACCGCCTTTAGGCAGCCTTTGCTGGGGATCCCCAGCCCATCCGGGGGCACCTCCCAGAGAGGCCCGCACAGTTGAGTGGGAGTTCCTAGCCCCAGGCCACCGTCAACTGCGCCCCAACAGCCCACTCCAGCCCCGCCGCCGCGCTGGGCCGAGCCGGTGGCCGCGGACGCCCCGCTGGAGCCCTGGCCCTGCAGGGGGCACCGTGCCGGGGGCACCGTGCCGGGGGCGCCCGGTCACCGCCCTGCGAGGACAACTCCACGGGCAGGAGCTGGTGAGCCTGTTTGGTGCTGGTGGAGACCGAGCGGAGCGCTGGAGACCAGACGGAGGGAAGGCGGCAGGGGCTGTGAGGCGAGGGCCCGAGGGGATGCGGGCGAGGGGAGGCGCAGGGGGGGTTACTCGGAACTCCGCGGCCGGACACAGGCGGCGGGATTCGGGCACCCAGGGCGAGTGGCCGCGCAGGGCCGACGTGGGTAAGCAAGGTCCGGGGTCCGCAGCCCTCACTCACCCGAGATCTCCGCCTGGGGCACATCACTGAGGCTGAAGCCCTTGGCGCCGTAGATCTGGCGGACCTCGCTGCAGCTTCGGCTCTTGCTGGCTGGGTCCCCGCGGGCGCAGGAGGCCAGCGCGGCGGCCGCGCACAGCAGCCACCAGCCTCCGGCCCGGAGCTCCATGGTGGGGCCGCGGCGACCCCGGTCGCCTGCCGCCGCGCCTCTCTGGGATCCGGTGGGGCCCGCGCAGCCCCGGCCCGCGAAGGGCAGAGCCAAGGTCCCGACACGCGGCTCGCAGTCGCAGACGGCGGCGGAGACAACAAAAGCCGGAGGCGGCGCGGGGCGCGCGGGGCTCGCGGACCGGCTGCTGGGTCGGGCCGCCCAGAGCGCAGCGGGCGAGCGCGCAGTCCCGGCTCGGCGCCTCCCCCGGCCGGGCCCGGCCCCTCGGCGGCCCGGGAGAGAGGAGGGGAGGGGAGTGCAAGGGAGGGGCGCGAAGGGTGGGAGGGGGAGCCCTGGGGCGGGGCGCGGGGTGCAACGGGCGCTCCTCTCTTCCCCGAGGACTTGGGGGCCCCGGGGCTCTCGTGGACCTGTCCCCTGCGTGAGGGAGGCGGGGGCGGCGGGGGAGCGCGCCGGCCGTGTCCGTGGTTCCCCCGAGAGCGGCCCCCCACGCCCAGCGTCCAGCACCCCGGGCAGCAGCACCACCTGTGGGGGCGGGGCGGGGCGGGGGCGCTGAGGCAGGGCTTCCCCCGCCGGACGTGACATCACGCCTTCCACGCGCCTATCAGGGGCCTCCCCGCCCCCAGCCGAATTCAGCATCCCTCCAATCCTCCCAGTCCCCAGCTCCTGTCCTGCTGTCCTGCACTCTGGCAGCGCGCCCCCTGGCCAATCCCGCAGCGCCCCGGCCCCCTCTACTCGCCGTCCACACCTCCGTCCCCAGCCTCCCTCCCTATCTGCACCCCTTTGCCACCCTCGCCCCTACACCCTGCTCAGCTCCAGTCACACCTGGTGTTTTGGGGAAGATGGGGGCGGGGAGGGGGGGACGGTCTCCGCGGGGGAAACTATCCAAAAGACTCCACCCAACCCTCTCCTTGCTCTTTAGAAGGCACGAGCCGAGTCACTTACTTGTTGGAGGTGTTCAGCCTTCTTTTTGGTCCCCTCCACTCGATTCTTTGGATGCTCTAGAGACAAAAGGGTGCTGTCTATTGACCTGGGCTGCCGGCGGTGGCTGGTGACCTCTTATCCAAGGGAGAAGTTGGGTCAACAACAGGTCAGATTGCTGGGCAATGAGGAGAGCCAGTGTGAACCGGAGCTCTGAGGGCAGGAAAGCGAGGCGGGTAGCAGCCCTTAGCTACAGCGGGGATGGGATGGGCGTGGGGATGGGGTCTGTGGGAAGAGGTGTCTGAGGTCTTCCCTGGGGATGGGGATGGAGTCTCTCTTTCCAGGCTATTGCACCCCCTTCCCCAGGCCTCTCCCTCTCCTCTCTGCCTTGTAGGTAAAGACTACAGACACCACCAGGCTTGGCTCAGGCCATAGACCCAGGTGCCTGGGCAGAAATGAGGGGAAAGCAAATAAGTTGGCCGATAACCACCAACTGATGTTAAGGGTGCAGGAGCCTTAGGAGTTGTGGTTTCACCTCAAAGCAGGGACTGACTGGCCCACAGGGTGCTATTCCCCCCCTTCCCCTCCACACCCACACCCACCATGCTCTTGGACCTCCCAGAGAAGGCTGCTCCCTTCACACAGGGACACTGAGCCATTGCGTGAGAGGGAGGGTGTGGAGAGCCAATCCCAGTGTACAGACCTCCTGCCCCTCCCCCAACTGCTGCCTCATCACCGGGTGACACACAGGCTCCCTAGCAGCGCACCCAAAGGCCTGCTCCTTCTTGCCTGGGCCTGGACATCTCCCCAGTGGCTGCCTGGCTCAGGCCACCCCGGGGTGAGGGACCTGGCCCACACTCCCACCCTCTGCGTAAGCTCACTTCCAGCCACCTGCATCCAGATCAGGCAGGAGTCAGACTGGGCTTAAACCCTGCCGGAGGCTGGAGAGCCATCCATTTTCTCCTTGTTATGGACATCGCGGTTGCCTCCTCTTAATCCAGCCAGACTGGGATGTTCCTAAGGGTGGGGTGAGTGTCCAGTTAATTTCCCAGCCCCAGACAGCAAAGCGGCCACGCTCACATGGCAGGTTTCCAGTTCGTGGTGGGCGCGGGCATACTTGCCCGGGCACCTCTCACGTGCACGATGGCTCCATCTCCTAGGGCAGTGTTTCCCAAACTTTTGACATATATGTACCCCTTCTATAATTTTCATAACGCTGAGTACCCCTCTTACTCATGAGAATGTAGAATTAGGTGCAGCTAAGCACAGTGCAGTGCATATCCCCACCAAACTCCGGTGCAACGCGTACCCCCACCAAACTCTTCCCGTACCCCTGGGGGTACGCGTACCTCACTTTGGGAAACACTGCCCTAGGGCATCCTCTCCACTACTTCAAGGGCATTGAATCATTCCTACTTCACAGAGCACTTGCAGCCGGGCCCTTCCCCTAGAGAGGACACTGTCCTCAGCTGGATCTGAGCTCTCATTGTGGAAGTCCAGGGGTGCCAGGGGAGTAAGGAGGCAGTGTCCTGTGCCATTGAAAATGCTTAGATGAGTCTCCATAAACATATAGGTTTGGTCCTAGTCTTTCTATTGGTTGTTAGTAAATTTACATATACAAGTATCCTCTCTGAGGAAGACGGGGCATTGGCACCTGTAGGTAGTAGGCACCCAGGTGGGTGCAGGCAGCCTGCAGTCTCCCACCCACGCTGAGGCCTGGGGCTCTGGCCTCTTTCATGTTTGGTAGCTTTGTGGGGGCTCAGCTTCCAGTGCACTTGAGGTTCAGGCTGGGCTGGAGGGAGGTGCCCAGGTAGGAGGGGTCAGGGCATTTTTTTCCAGTTTGTGCTCAGGACAGAAAGCCAACCTGAACGGCGAGTGTAGGTATAAAGCAAATGTGTGGTTTCTACAGCTGGCTCTGGCTGCTCACTGGTCCTGTTTCTGAGAAAAGGACACTGAGATCTGAGTTCAAATTCGGATCTGACCACGTACCAGCCAGTGAATCTGAATGTAACACTCAGCTTAGTTTCCGTATCAATTCAGGGGAGAGAGATGACCCAGGGAGGACCAAGCGTGGAGCCAGCTCTGGGGGACCCGCCCTCAGGCGCCAGGAAGAAGGGCTGTGACAAGGGGCCAAACTCATGGCCTCGAAGGGTGGCAGGCAGGATGGTACTCCCAGCTCTGGAAGGGTCCAGCACCTGCTGGAGAGCCTTGATGACCAGCAGGGAGGCCAGCTGCAGGGACACCTGACTGCTAGGTGGTCACAGCTCCAGTGGCTCTGCTGAAGCTGTCAGAGACCCATAGAGCCTCCTTCCCTGTCCCCACCCAAGGGAGTGCTTCAGTTTCCCAGGCATGGACACGGCTACTGGTGAGGCAGCGGGTTCTGTCTAAGGTCTCACAGTGCAGAGGAGCTGTCCCCAAGTGCCCGCTGTCAGAACCTTGCCAGTCCTCTGCAGGCTTGCCCTACTTATCAGCCTGGCCCTGACCATTTAGCTTAAGACAAGAGATGCCACTGGCCAGGCCAGGGCACTGGGCACCAGCAGCCTGGGTTTTAGGCATCAGGGCTGCGTGAGTCTTTCCAGCTGAAGTTTCACCTGTCCTCCCTACCAGGATGCCACACACACTCTCAGTCCATGGTTGGGGGGCAGGTCTCCAGGAGCTGGGGATGTGGATGTGGCTGGCAGAGGCTTCCTCCCCACCAAGATGGCTGCTGTGGCTGCCACAGGACCACAGCTGCTGTGGGGCCTGGACCTGCCTGCACCCCGTGGGCACCGACTGTGATGTGAGGAAGGAATGAGGCAGCGAGTTGTTTACTCTCATGGGTGACAGACTGGAGTTGCCCTGCTCCTGACACTTAAATGAGGGCTGAGAATAAAGGGCCATTTAGAGTCATCTCAGGAGGGGGGGTGCACCCACGTTTCCGTCTCCTTGAGCAGTGACCTCGAGTTCTGGAAGGCAGCACCCACCCCCTACTTCCTGCCTCTGACCCAGGAGGGATTAGGGTTACTGGGCCCTGACCGCTCAGAGGACCCAGGGAGAAAGCCAGTCACAAGCCATAGACAGAGGGGCTAGTGACAGTGTTTACTATTGGGCGTCTTTTGTCATCCCCAAAGTTTCCAAGTCCACTGAACAGTGAAAGCCACTTCCATCCATCTGTGCCCGCTCAGAACATCACTGCCAATGGGTGTCCAGAGTGCCATCCTGTTGGCAGTAGAGTGCACGGGGTCAGAGTGCACTGGGCAGGCTGGGACACAGGAGCAAGGTACCACTATCCTGCAGGGGTGTCCTCTTCCAACCTCTACCTCCCTGCAAACCCTGTGGGGGCAACAGACTTGAAGGCGGGCTCCTTGGCAGCCAGCTCACCTTTGATCAGCCTAGGCTGGCCTCTCTCATCCAAGCCCAGCAGAGGGGAGGCCGATTCAGAGTGGCTTGGTCACCTACATGGGGTGGCAGGGTAGCCCTTCTGAGAGCTGACGCCTCTTTCTCCTTCTCTATTTGGTCTTCCTGCCCATCCTGGCTCCTTGACTCATCCTAGGAGGAACGGGGCTCCCAGGCGCAGTGACATGCTGGGACAAAGCACTCCATAGGCCCAGTGCACAGAAACACGTGTTCTGCTCCGCCCACCCACCCCGGAACCCAATTGCCAGGAGCCACTGCTGCTTGGAGTGGCTTTGCCTGCCCCGCCCCACACCTTTCCTCCTGGACTGTCGCTGGCCTCTCTAATCTGCATGGCTAGGCTGATTGTTCCAAAACCAGTCAACCAAAAACCCGAATAAAGCCAGAAGCAAGTGCCTGTAGCTCCCCTGTAGCAGGGCCTTGCCCACTCAGGACTGGCCAATCCATTGAAACCAGCCAAACTCTCCACCCATCCCTGGTGATGGGATCTTCCCCTCATCTCAGGGCAGGTCTTAGGTTGCTTCCAGCTCCGAGGCTTATTGCTGAGGGCTGTGTGTCCGTGTAGACATGGCTCCTGAGGCCTTGAGGACATCAGCCTTTTGCTCAGCTCACCCTGAACATTTCCCACATGCCCTGGTCCAGTCCACACCTCTGCCCCCAGGATTTTGCCAACCCCCCACTCCCAAAGACCC